CAGCAGACCATCCAATCTACCTATACCTGAAGTCACTGATAGATTATTTTATCTCTTTAAATTACTAATGCTTAGGATAATAAGGTAACCCCATTTAGGCACTAAGACTATGGCAAAAGAGATTAAAGATGATGAGGAATACTATTATTATACTAATAAGTAATGTCAGAAAATGAGAAAACATTTTGGAATGAGGTATATCGTTGCATAACCAAGACTTGAAAAAGAGGTACCTAAGAATAGTAATAAACAAAATCTCACAAAATAATAAACATTTATATAACTCTTCAAAACCTACAAAGCTATTAATATAGAATCATAGAATTAGAGCAAAAAGGGACCTTAGGGAATGCCTATTTTGCCTCCTTATTTTACAGATAAAATGGAGGTTAAGTGATTAGGTAAACTGGGTAGTAAGAAGCAAGCCGAAACTCCAAATGCAAACATAATCTTTTCCCTAAGTCATGTCATTATCTCCTTTGATCCACAACAATCCTGTTAAATACAAATGTTATTATTCTTCCCATTTTACAGATGAAGAAATAGGGTTCAGATACTTGGTTGTAGTCTCACTGCTAGTTAAGTGGTAGAGGCAGGATCTGAATCCAAGTCTCTCCTTACTCCAAATCTGGTGCTCTATTATACTTTTCTGCTTCTCCTGAAAGAAAGAGTCCTAAAAATGAACTAGTCTAAGAACATAACATTTGCCTCTCAGAACTAAGAAACGTATAATCATTATGTTCATTTGATTTCATAACTTAATGGTAGGTTGGCTGGTGTGGGGACCTCCTCATTTGTCATAATAAGACGTATTCTCACAGTACTTCAGTTTTCCCTAATAATACCACTCTGGCCATATTATCTCCTAAACTGGTAGCCTGAAGAGGCCAGTGAAGGTGCAGGTGATGTGCACACAGCAGGTATGCTTTGGAAGGGAAGTACAAGTCTGGGATTGAGAATAAAAGTCATGGAAGCCCATAGGTGTAAATGCATACTTCTGCGTTTCCTGGTTGCTGCTATCATCACCAAGGGCAGCACTGATTCTGCCTGGAGTCTCAAACTTCGATTCACTTCTGAGTCTGGGGTTTGAAGGACATAGGGATTATTTGGGACTCACGGGCAAAATTATTCTAGGTCAGGAGTTATTCATCTTTTTTTTGTGTGTCACTGACCCATTTAGGAATCTGGAGAAGCCTTATTAAAATATTGTTTTTGATTTTTAATGATATGTATGTAATACCTCTTCCTGATTCTATTAGAATCAAATAGGCAATGGATGTAAAGTGCATAAAATGTTTTTAAATAATTGAAGGAAAGGCTAAGTTTCAGTTGGAGGGTACAGAAAATAAAGATTCAATTTTCCCCCAAGTTTTTTTCACAGACCCTCTAAAATCTATCCACAGACTCTTAAGTCAATTGATTGCAGATAAACCAGAAGATGCAAAAAAAAAATCCAGCTAAGCCAAAGACCATGAGTTTATTACAATTCCTGAAGTATTTAATTTTACACATTATTAAGAAGTTTTGGTGGCAGAGTGTGTAAAAGGGAGAACTAAGTCCAGTGGTTATACAGCACTTGGCTAAATAATTTCCATTTTTGTTATACCCTACTTGTTCTTTTTCATTTTGAGATTTCTTGATGATGATATACAGAGTGAGACAATGGGGTCACTGGGGACTCTCTTTAACCCTATCTTTCTAGTTTTGGTGCTCCCTGGGTTTAAGGAAGATAATTTTTCTTCCTGAACTTTCAGGTTAGAAAATTCAAAAGAATTCCTTCCCTTTTCTTAACAGACAAATCATCTTAACTTCTCCAGTTCTGTGTAAGTCAGCTGTCTTCAAGAAGCACTTCATTTTCAGTCTACTAGCCTAACCAAAACCATGTTACATAGTACATGCTGAACTTGCAATCTGTAATGTGCAATTTGTAACGTAACTAGCTGGTAAATGAATTATAAAAGTATTAGTTCCAGAAAAATGTGAACATTCTTCATACTACAATTTCAGCATAATCAAATTAGTGGTTCTTAAAAGACGGCCAAAAGGAAAAAGAAAAGACTCAAAGCCTTATTTCTTTCTTTAAAAAAACAAGAGTGATCTGTGACAAAGAAAAAAATATATGCAAGAATCCTGGAACGAAATGAAAAATAAGGAGATAAGCTAAAGCTGAGACCAAAACTTTCATTACAGGCCAATAAAAGATAATCAAACTGATACTTGGAAATGCATTACACTCAAGCCAGAAAACTTATCTTTTCAACTCCTTGAAAAAACATCAAACTTTGCATTAGAAGGAAAGCTTTCTTCAAGGAATAAAATTATTGGCACAGAGGTCATTTTTTCCCCTCTAGAGTATTTATGTAGTTCCTCAGTAATTGGACTATGAAGTTTAATTCACAGACTCATTATATAGAACATATAAGCACAGGAGGAAAAGGGCAGAGGACTTAAGTCTCCACTTATTTCAAGGAAAAATAAATACAATTGACAGAGAATGATGCACTTTGAATCAAGCTCAGTTGAAATAATATGGCAAAAGCAACATTTTGGTACAAACTTCAACAGAGCCAAATCAAAATAAAGCTCTATGCCTACTAGATTATGGGAAAAGAGTTTAAATTTTTTCCCATCATGACGAAGAAAGGGAATAAGGCTCAAAGCAGATGGAAGGGAAGAGGGAGAAAAGATGGAAGACGTGTGCAGATACAATTGGGTTCTCTTTTAAGTGTCCTATTTGAATTACAATGATACCCAGCTCTACCCAGCAAAAGGAGACAAAAACTAGAGGTGTTCAATCACTTTTTCTCATCTCTCATTGTTTGGGTTTATACAATATCTTTTTTCCCAGAGTGCTTTTTAAAAAACCTTTAAAGATAAAGGTAGGTTCCCTCCACATCCAGACACAAGTCAAATTTTGCTAGGATGTCTGAGGTGGGTGGTATGGGTGGAGGTACAGCTGTTTTGAGTTACAAAGCAATGCTATACAATAAATTTACTTTAGATATAATTTTTCAGAGGCATTAAGTATGGTAAACAGGTCCCTTTGTACTGGCAATTAAAATAAGTGTACTTTTGTTGGTTAGAACTTTACTGGAATGCCCACCCTAATTAATTTGAAAGCATTGGGATCTTACCCAGTAGAAACAGAAGAGACAGCATCCTCTACATTATATTTTGTAATGCAATTATCACTAATGGATTTTGATACAGTGGGATTCCACCTGTGTTTTGGATCACATGCTTCACTTGCTTCTTTTTAATCACAGCTGAAACACAACTGCACCCAATATGCCATCTCTAATTACCTCTTTTGTTTGCAAGTGATTTACAGGGACAGATTTTAAATTCTGCTGCTGACCTGTAAGTCTCTCCATGATCTCACTCTGATGTTTCTCCAAGATTGCTCCCTCTGTACTTTCAAACCCATCAAGCTTTGTTTGTCAGGGAATAACACTTGGCAGCATATTTAGCTTCATATTTTTGCACTGAGCAAGGTCATGCCTTCTGCTGTCATTTTACACTTATAAAAACCCTCTGCACCACATTATTTATGATTTCATGCTTTGTAAAACACTTTCTATACAACAATGCGTGCCATAAAATACTTGGTCCTGTGCACAGCCTCAGCATCTTGATGAAGAAGGCACTGAAAAAGCAGGCATAGTGTCACAAACACACTACAAAACCCAGCAAAATTAAAATTCTGTAACCAAGAAAGGCAGTGCAGACAGCAGATAGAGATCCTGACTCCAAGTCAGAAAGACCTGCATTCAAGTCTACCTGTGCGATGCAAGGAATATCACCTATCCTTTCAGTGCCTCCAGACAGCTGTTTGAAACAATAAATTGCTGAGGAGGTGCTGTCCGCATTAATTTTCTAACTGGAGGTTTTCTATGCCAATGAAATCACAGTTCTGGCCCAAACTAAGTTATATGTTAACTGAAAGGCAACAAAGTCTTTCAATACATATTGTGTTCTGAAGAATCTGAATACAGGGGCAGCTAGGTGGCAGAGTGGATAGAGCACTGGCCCTGAAGTCAGGAGGACCTGAGTTCAAATCCGGCCTCAGACCAAACAATTGACACTTACTAGCTGTGTGACCCTGGGCAAGTCACTTAACCTCAACTGCCTAAAGGAAAAAAAAAAAGAATCTGAATATAGTAATGATCTCTATCTTTAATAGTCATGTATGAAATGTCATGAGTATTCACTTTACTTTCATTCCTATATTTTCCAAAAAAACAAACACAAAACTAAAACACTTAAATAACTCTCACTTTTTCTGAAAGTGAAATCTCATTTTTCAAGGCACTTGGTTAGCAAAAGCACCAGCTTGTTCTAGTCCTGAAAGAGCAGCCATGACTAGGATAACAGATGGTACAACAATGGCTTTCAGGAGTCATTCACAAGGAAATAATATTTTTATTAATAAGGACCTACAAATCACATCTAGTTTTACTTTAGACCTACCTGCCTCTCAAAATTAAGAATTTTCTAAATGGCCACATCCCAGTCATATGAAATTACCAAAAAAAAAAAAAAGTACACAAGCCTATTTTATGGATGTACATGGAAGCATGTCTACAGGTTACTTGATTTTTTTTCCTCTCTCTTCTATTTCTTCTTATCCACCCATAGGAACTGACCTCACATCTCCTGTAACAAGGAAATGAGGGAAAGTACACAGTCAGAGAAAGAATATGAACACTAAATCAGTATACATGAGGAGAAAACTGTTTAGCTGGAAGCTTCCTGGCTTCTCAAGTGCACAAAAGATAACAGAACTTTCCAGATGTTGTCTAAAGAGTACTTTCATAGGAAAGAAGACAAATGTATAATATGACTAATTAACAAGAGCAACTATAGAGCCCAGAAATCTTTTCTGTAATGAATGACCAATCTGGATCTCAGAATACACCAACCATTGCTAAAACACCACCTTCACTTCACCCCCAATGCATGACTACTTGATACAACCCAAAGGGAATCCATACACCTACCTGATCACATCCTACTTTGACCAACTCCTGTAACATCTGCCGGTTTACATCCACTGTGCTTGATTCATTAGCAAAAGGTAGCAAAGAATATCTGATCTCCCTCAAAGCTTTTTGATAAGGTCCAAACTTTGGAGTAGGTTTCATCTGCTGCTGCCTTGCTGCATCTTTTACTACAAAGATTTTGGTGTCCAAGGAGGTGTCACTGCCTGGTCCAACGGATAGCCCTTGACCAGAGGACTTGGAAGGCTGTTTTAACCCTTCACGAATCTCTTGCAATCTCTGTCTGCTGTTTCCAGAATAAGTTGTAGCAGGAAAAGTCTTTGGCCTCATTGTTAGTCCAGTTTCCTTTTTAACATAAATACAATCTTCTCAAAGTACTTTATTCCAAAAACAAAACAAAACAAAACAAAACAAACCCCCCCCACAATCTACTGCCAACAGTATCAGTTCCTTGTAAACATACTTTAAAAACAATTTCCTTTTTAATTTTTCTTTTCTTCCATCTTCATAGTTCCTATAGAGAACCTAAAAATTTCTAGAGTCCTCATTTTGCAGATCTATATCTGAAAAAGACAACGAAAAAGAAAAATGTTATTTGCTTTAAAAAACATAATCTTACACGATTTTTTTGAAAAATATTATATTTCATGAAAATCAGTGTGTTTGAAGTTAATAAAATAAAACATGACAAGATATTAACAGCAATTTCTATATCACATTAAAATTTGCAAAGTGCTTTACATATATCATCTCATTTGATCCTCACAACTACCCAGTGTGGTGAGTTATTAATATACCCATTTTACAAATAAGGAAAATGAGGCTGAATTAGTCAATAAACATTTATTAAGTGCCTGTGTGCCACGCACTGTGCTAATTGCTTGGGATACAAAGAAAGTCAAAAGAGAGTCCCTACCCTCAAGAAGCTTACAATCTAATAGGGGAAAACAACATACAAAAGGAAGCAAAAAAAAAAAAAAGGCAGGAAAGGGGGAAAAGAAAGTCCCTCCCCCACCATGGAGGCATGATGAATTAGTTCAGCAGTATAGATAGTAGGAAATGAAGAGAGGCTAACCTGGGCTCCCTCCTTAAATGGAGCTTCTGGGAGTAGAGGTCTCCACCCTCCAAGTGGCTCCAAGGGCAGAGGGTACTGAGGTTAAGCGCTTTAACCAGGGTCACACAGCTAGTAAGCTGTCTCAGGCAGTATTCTAATTAATTCAGATATTCTCGCCTCAGTCAGGTTTTCTAGCCACCTAGTCTACTAGTTTATTACATTAAAATACAATATGCAAACTAAATGGAATACAGTCAATTTTTGGCTTATCTTAAACATATTTGTCAAAGCCAGAAAAAGCACCATTGTAATGCTTAATATTTCAATTGTATTTCACAACTGTGATTTTATCAGTGTGGGTACTCCCTAGTATATGGCAGGATTTACTGTAGTCAAAAATTCCATCACTCTGAAACTAAATCAATGATGAACTTCTCTGAATTAAGCTGGTCCTAAGATACCAGATATTTATGTGAGGTATCCCAAAAATTTTAGCCCAGTTTTAAGTTTATGAAAGCTCAACCTTTCATAAACCATACAATACTTTTTGGACATTCTGTATCTGTATCTGTACATCAATTGTCCCCTAGGTAGGATCTATCAAAGCTGGTGATCCACTGACATTTTATTACAATTTCATTTAAAGTTTATTGGTTTGTTTTGCAGGGTTGTTTATTTGTTTCTGCTTGCCAATAAATCCTGCTTAGTATCTATCTACTCCACTTTCCCTTCTTTCCTGCCCAGGCTCTGCTAATCACTTCTCTCCACTCTGCAAACATCAGTCCTTCATTATTCTAAGAAATGGCTCTTTCAATACTTTGACTCTCCTTTAAAAAAAAAACAAAACACCAATTTTAACCTTTTCCCAAAGTTTTTAAAATCTGAAGAGACTCATGGAATCTTAGACCATCAGAAATGGGCAGAACTACAGAGATCATCTGATCTAACCAACTTAAAAAAAAAACCATATGAGGAAACTACAATCCAGAGAAGTTACAATTTGCTCATGGACACGCTGCTAGGAGATGAACACTGGAGCTAGAACTGGAAATATATTACATCAATATACAATTACATCTAGAAGAGAAGTGCTGAAACAACCTCTATCTTCATGATGTCTGTAGAAATGGGGACATTGGTTATATTCATTGAGAAGAATACAAAGACTATCTAATCACTTTAGCTTTGAAATAAAGGAAATGGTGGATCATGTAAGCAACAAGATGGTGGACTAGACATTTTCTCTGATTCCCCCACAACCTCTCATACCTCTCCAAAAAAGAAGTTATACACCAAAAATGAAATAAGGGAAATAATACAGAACCAGGTATTAGTTAGTATGACATCTAAAAAAAATAGGATCCTGACTCTCCTTGTTATCCAGCTTACAAAATAATTTACTGAGGCAACTTGATATACTAGAAAGAATATTGGACTGATGACAAAAGACCTAGGTTCATCCCCCAGAACTTCCACTCATTAGCTAATTATGACCTCAGCTGGGAACTTAACCTGAACCTCAATTTTCTCATCTCTAAGATGGGGACAATATTTGTCCTGTATGCTTTACAGGGTCTTTGTGAGGATCAAATGAAGACATTTGTGAAGTATCTCATAATATACACGAAATAAGTGTCAGATGTTATTTTTACTATTTAAAAAAATAAAAATATTGGTTAACTACAAGGCCATTTTCTCTCAACTGTCTGTGTTTTTAATTTAATGGGATTTTTTGGGGGGTTATTCCAAAATGAACTTTTGCTTCCTTGCCACTGTCCAATAGTTGCATTTTATGACCCCTTTTTTTTCTGAGGGCAGATACCTAGATCAGTTTTTAGATTCTTATTTTCTTCAACTTAATTAATAGAACTTATTATTATGGTAACACAGTAACCAGAGTAAAGGAAAGAGTATTATACTGAGAGCCAGAAAGTGTGGGTTGGAATCCTGGCTCTGTCACCCACTTACCTGTGTGACCCCTTAGCACAGTGCCTGGCATATAATTCCAGGTCCCAGAAAAGAAGATCAAATGAAATGATTAAGATGACCTCCCTCTAAGGTCCCTTTCAGACAGCTAGGTGGGGTAGTGGATAGAATACAGACTTTGAGTCAGGAAGACTCATCTTCCTGAGTTCAGATCTGGCTTCAGACACTTAATAGCTATGTAACCCTGGGTAAGTCATGTAACCTCTGTCTCAGTTTCTTCCTCTGTAAAATGGGGATAATAATAGCACCTACCTCCCAGGGTTGTTGTGAGGATCAAATGAAATAACAATTGTAAAATGCTTAACACAGTACCTGGCACGTAGTAAGTAGTATATAAATCTTAGATATCATTTCTTACACCACTGTAATATTCCATCCCATTAATGTATAACAATTTGTTTCTGTCACATTTAGGTATCACAATTTGTTTAGTCATTTCTTAATCAATGAGCATCTAATTTGATTCCAGATCTTTGCTACTGCAAACATTTTTAGTGTATATGGAACTTTTCCTTTTTATTACCAAGTTAAATTCTTTAAAAAAAACCAATAAATCCACAATATTTTATTGTCTATGACTCAATTACATGACTGTAAAGATGTAGTCTGATACAAAATATTTCTTTACAAAGTCTGACTGTTCTTTTTTCTTTTAGTCATACACAAAGATTAATCATATTAAGATGTGTAAAAAAGAGACAGTTGTTCCATACAGTGGAGAGAGCCCTGGACCTGGAGCAGGGTGGACCTAAATTCAAATCCCACCTCACACATTTATTGGCTGTGTGACCCTGGGAAGTCACTTAACCTTTATCTGCCTAAGTTCCCTCATAGGTAAAATAGGGGATAATATAGTACCTACCTCCCAGAGGTAAAGCACTAATTAAATGCTAGCTAAGAAGACAAAATCCTGCAGTTGCAAATGCCTTTTAACAATTTGAGCAGAGAGATAGAAAGGATAGACCTTAATCTTTCTTATTCTTTTAGAATTTTCTCCTCTAAGATAGCATGGAAAATTGATTCTTTAACACTGAATCACTTCCCAAATGGATTTCTTCTAAATGTATTTAGTCAGATCCAGCTGCTCTTCATCTGCTTAAGTATGACAGTTACTCCCTGACTTGGTACATGAGGTAATGAGGTGGTAGAGTCCAAATATGGTGATTCCATTGTTGTCACCAAAGAAAACAATTCACTATAAAAACATCAGTAAATCTGTCCCATTTCTCATCTGCTGGTTGTCCTCCAAAAATCTGGAGACAGGACCTGAACTTTCTCATGATACAACAGTTGCCTTAGACTCAAATAGAAAGAGATCACTACTAGCTGCCTGTTGACTTAGAAAACCACAAATTAACATTATCTATGTTGTACTGTAATTTTATTTATTTTGTTAAACATTTCCCAATTACATTTTAATATGGTTCAGCTGCCCTAGGGAGTTTTTCAGGCAGCATATACCTCTGTTACAGCATCACATCTGGGTACTGCATCAGGCTTTCAGTGACTACAAACTGCTCCCTGTAACAAAGGTCCATCTTTTTAGCACCAATGTCCTCTTGGTGTTGCTATTTTGTTGTGAACTATGGCACATCTTGATCTCTGAAGAAGCAGAATTACAAATTATTCAGAGGACAAGAGAAAGGAGCATAATAAGTATAAGTTGGATCCATGTCACCAGTGGAAGTTTCCTCCTACTAAGTACTAGGATGCATATGAACTGATCCGGTGATATACTGCAAATGAGAGACAACAGACAGCCAAGCACTACCTAGTTAGAATAATTAAAAACAGAAGTAGGGGCTCCTTTGGGTGGGTGCTCACTGTATGGAGGATGTATAGGAAGATAAAGACAAGAATCTCAGAATAAAAAAGTGTAGAGAGGTTGCAATATGCATCAATGGAGGGAGTCTAACACTGATGAAATCACAGATCCGCCAAAGTGTCAAATAAAAGTCCTAGAACTTGGGTTTAAAAACTCAATGGCATGAAATAGAACCTAGTGGCATCACAATGTAATAAAGTTTACAAAACTGTGTAATTCTATGGCTAACAATGAGTATAGAGCCACACTATACTATAATAAATTCTAACTGGATCAATGACCTAAATTTTTTTTTTAAACCTAATTCAATTCAAAGAGTACTCAACATAACAGGTGCCTATTATATGTGAGGCACTGTTGGGAAAAGAATACAGCCCTCAGCTTTCACGGAGCTTATATTCTATTGGTGGAAAACTAGAAGAAAAAGAAATAAGCAATTTGCCTCAATTTACCAAAAAGAAGAATATTCTAATAAAAAATAGATGAGGTTATTGGAGGCAAAAGCAATGAATTTGTTTATAAAAAGAGGAAGGGATTCAGCACAACAAAAGAAGAAATAGGCATGTTTGGATCCTAGCTCAACCAATGATTCAACTGGTGGCCAAGTCACCTATAACCCTTCTCAAACTTAGTATCCTCATCAATAAATTGAGGGCTTTAAACTAGATACCCTCTAGGGTCTCTTTAAACTCTAAATC